CTACACGACATTTATCCATGCCTATTGTAGTGCAGGGAGAATGCAAGAAGCCGAGGATATGATAGTAAAGATGAAGGAAGAAGGTGTTCTGCCAGATTCCCTCACCTATACCTTATTGATTGATGCATATGGAAATCTAGGCCTGACATATTCTGCATTTGATGTCCTCAAGCGCATGTTTGATGCCGGGTGTGAACCGTCTCATCGGACATTTTTATCTCTGATCAAACATCTGTTGAACAAAAAGTATGTGAAAGAGAAAGGTGCTGTAACAGGACTTTATCTGGTGTCTAATGTTGTTGATGCATCTGATACATGGAAGATGATGAAGTACGATATCATCGTTGAATTTTTCGATAAAATGCTGAAACTTGGTTGCAGCCCTGATGCCAATACCTATGAGAAGATGATAATAGGGATATGCAAAGTGGGGAATCTAGGAGTAGCACAGAGAGTGTTTGATCGAATGCAAATAGAAGGAATATCTCCGAGTGGGACAATCTTTAATGCTCTTCTTAGCTGTTGTTGCACAATGAAGAAGTACGGGGAAGGAGTTGAGCTCGTGGATGATATGATTCGTAGTGGCCACTTACCGCAACTAGAGTCTTGCAGAATTTTAATTTGCGGACTTTACGAAGAAGGGGACAAAGAGGGAGGTCTCTCAGTTTTCCAGAGTCTGCTACCATGTGGGTATTATCACGATGAGATAGCTTGGAAAATTATCATCGACGGGTTGTTAAAGCAGGGTCTTGCAGAGGCGTCCTCTGAACTGTTTAACGTCATGGAGAAAAGTGGATGCAACTTTAGCCCTAGAACATATTCAATGCTGATAGAGGGGCTAGATGCAACTTGATACAGATTCTTCTTCTCTCTTGTTTCATTGAAGGTTTTGTTCGAGTTTGAGATAGAGCACTGTCTCCTCTCCTTTTACTAGTTGAGATGGAGGCTCATGTACATAGGTGAGGAGATGGGCAAAGCCCATGTCTGAAAATGCAGGGGAAACTTTTTGATAGTGATCGGATATACTCAATCTGCTGGGCCGAGCTCCTCTGCAGCGAAAATCCTCAGAAAGGCCGATAAAAGAAAACAATGAGGGATAGAGGGTGAAATCACTACATGGGTTGCTATGGACAGAATCAACGGGACACGATGAAGAGTGGGGAGACTCGGTGGTAGTGTCCAAACTGAGGGCAGGAGGTGAATAAGGTCGGTAAAACACATATTTCTCATTTAAGATCATTCATTTACAGGGTTTGCAAGAAAAGCACAAGTTCTATGGCTGGTTTAATGACGTTGGGATCGTTTCTTTTGCTTTACAGTCACACATTTATACGTGAGGAGGAGCCCTTCAAGCCTCTGTTTAGAACTCGCAATCAGAAACCGATTCTCTTCATCCACTTGATCTTGTTCATGTCCAAGCAGTGAGAGATAAGGTTGTCTTTTTGTTCATATATCCATGAAATGACGCCTACTGTATGTTTATCAGGCTTCGTTTTTTCCCTTCCTGTGAGCAGAAACTAAGAGACAGGTGCGGAGGAAGCTCGGCCGAGGCAATGCATGATAAGCTGCAGATTCAAAGTTATTCTTTGTTTTTTGGTCAAAGTAATTTTACCATGCCATATGTTCTAGAAATCACAACAGATTGTCTGTTCCCTTCAGACTCATAAGCAACACTGGCCAATGGCTTCCCTGAACACAGGAGCCGAACAATGCCAGTTATAATCTTATCAAATCAATCGTGGAGTAGAACACACATAACTACATGAGAACAGGGTCAGGAATAGTCCGAAGAAACACAGGGACCCAAACCTTGAAGAGAAGCGAGATTGTGACAAAGGGATCGAATAGCCGACGGCGAGCAGAACAAACTGCAAGAAAAGAGCGAGAGATTCGAGAGGAAATGGAAAGGAAACGACGAAGTCGACGGTGATATCGAAAGAAAAAGATTTACCTCGAGAGCGGCGGAAATCGACGAACAAAAGATTTTTCCGGCTGGGAACAACGATTTGGTGTCATGGATTTGGGTTCTAAGAGTGGGCCTTGACGTTAGATATATTGGGCTTGGGTTATAAGAACGACCCATAAATGAGAGATTATGGGCCTACGTTCTAGGGTTTTAATTCTAGGAATAACCCAGATATTACAGATCATGGGCTCTTACCCTCTCTCTCTCTCGAATTTTAGATTTTAAAAAAAATAAAAAAGACATCCTTTGTATGAATGGGCCCAGAAATTAGATATTATGGGCTTGAATTCTTGGAATAACCCAGATATTACAGACCATGGGCTCCTGCCCACCTTTTTTGGTAATTTGAGATTTTTAAAAAATATCTTTTTTATGGAAAAAATGACTTTATCTTGAATATAATCCTCTAATTTTTTGGAAAAGAGAGAAGTGTTTGTCGGAGAGAAATCAGTTAAACAGACTTGTATTGGCATTGGTGAGTTTGGTGGCTACTTGGCTTTGGACAATATATATATATAATATATTCATTTGTTAAGAAAATGGTCTCTATCTTACCTTAACGGGGTTTAGTTCACCCACTAAACAAAAATAAGCTCTCACATCAATGTTCTAATGCACTAAGCTCCCTCTAAATTGGTGAATAATAAAGGATAAAAGCCCCCAAGAAAATACATTTAGATTAAATGATTTATACAAAACTATATAACGAATCCACATATCGTGAGATTTTATTTATGGGCATGAGTAGTGGACCCACATTTCTGCCATGTTTCTCTTTTTGGCGCCACGGTAATTGAAAAAAGCAGAGAGCCGCAGCCTGACACTTTGTAACCAATATTTATTTGTCGACTCCGACTCCAATATCTCGTAATTTTCACTTTCCTACTTCAAAAGATATTTAAAATTTCTTTTCTTTTTTTATACCAAAACTAATTTACATAAATAAATAAATTGGCATCTATAAGTAATGAAGATTTAAAAAAAAAAATTGATTTGAAGCGTTAGTTAAGCTCTCTTTCTCTCCCCTTGAAATCGGACGGTTCGGATTTCATTGGCCATCTTAATCTCATCCAAAATAACCAAAAAAAAAAAAAAAAGACAATTCTCGATTATTCAATGGAAAAAATATTTTAAAAAATCGCAATATATTGTTGAATGGTGGAGTTGTATAAATATAGCAAGAGTTGCCAAGCTGGTTTTTCAACGCTTCGCCTTTCTGCTTCTTCTAACAATAACCATTTTTTCTACAAATTTTACTCTCAGAGGCCAAAGGACTCATCTTCTACTCTGAACAAACATTTCTGTTTTCCTCTTTCTCTCTCTCTGTGTTCTTTCCGCCTCTCGATTTCAAAGCCCCTTCCTTTTTTTTTTTTTTCCTTCTTCTTCTTCTTCTTCGGGGATTTTGTATGAATCATTGAGTCTATGGCTGTTGAAGGT